GGAAGGTGGACTCAGGAGTCTGGCGGAGCTGCTCTGCCGTCTGGGGGTCTCGTGAAAAGAGAGAGAGAGGGTGGAGATTTGATATATGGTTAATTATGAAAACCCTTGTGCCAAAGCTCAAACTGTAATTAGCTTTAATTGGCTAATTGGATAGAATTGGTGGATGGTATAAGCCTAATTGCCCTCGTTTTTTTCTTTATCAAAGCATTAAGTGCAAAATTAAGAATGTAGCTGTAGTGACGGTAAAGCCATTTTTTGTGTTTTTGAGTGTATAATAAAGCGCTTGTTGTTCAGATCACTCCTAAGATGATGGGAAAGCCCATTTTATAAAGCTTAAAGGTGCAACACAACATTGCCTGTTATCAGGATAATGTCTAAACCAACAGGAAAAGCAACACAGTAACCTGTTGTCAATAGAAAACTGACTATTATATTTATTTAAATGTGCTTGACAGTGTAACTTGTTGTTAAGCCTTAAGAAAAATTTATGTTTTTTGAAGGTCATGAAAATGATTTCTGTTGTCAACATTTGTCCCCCCCCAAAAATTTTTTTTTTTATTTGTATTTCAAAGTGTAACAAGAATTGACCTTTTATAAATATTTTTACAAAACAGATCGAAGGACCGTTCTTTTACATTTTTTTGAACGCAAGAATGTCTGATGTGAAGATCCTTCAGAAACAAAAGAAAATAGATTTTTCTGATTCTTAAAGATGCACTGCAACTGTTTTAACTCACATCAACAGTCAATTATTATTTTTTTCATTGTTATTTGTTCTGTTCAGTTTACTTTTCAAACTGTTCACAACTCCTTCACTGCTATGACTTGTTGTATAGCAGCCAAAAAGCCAAATAAAATCAACTTTTCCCCCTCCAACCTGCTGATTCACACCACAAAGTTGATGCAGAAACATTCCCTCTGTTCTGAGACAGTTGACTGTAACAAGAATTCTCTCTCCTCCTCTCACCTCCTCTCTCTCCCTGACTCACAAACACAACCTCACACTGAGTATTGGAGCTGCTCAGCTCAAGGTGCTCAGACTCTGTGCTAATAACACCATCTAGAAATCACGCCCTCCAAATAGGTTAATGTGTTTTTGCCCAGAGGGCCCTATCTACCTCCGCAGCACAACCCTCTCTGAGCTTCCATTAAGCAACAACACTGATGCTGCTATTAGCTGCTGTGGGGGCCAGGAGTGAGAAGACTGTACGGACACACTTTTGTGTGTGTGTGTGTGCGCGTGTGAGTGTGTGTGTGTGTGTGTGTGTGTGTGTGTGGAGCATGCACTGAGGGTGTCACTACCTGTTCTGGCCGGCTGTGCTGTGTTAACTGTTGCAGCAGAACAATGTTATGGCCCCTGACAGCTTGTTAAAGAGTCCACCATGTTGGAGCTGCTCCTACTTTGGTAGCAAACTGTGATATAAAACACACATTTCAACACATACATAGAAAAAAGTCAGACAAATGCAGCTGATTATTTGTGAATATGTGGGTCTGAAAGAAACAAGTGGAACATGGTTGAAATCATTGTAGCTTTTTGACTTTAGCCCACTATGAGAAGTGTTTTCTTCTTGTAGTCTCATGGCATTTAATTAGTGATTTGTTTGTTTGCTTTTCATATGGGTCTTGGTGTTTTCTTGTGTTGTTTAAGGCATCTTTATTTTGACTGTACACCACTTTGGTCAGCTCTATATGTTTATGAATGGGCTTAAAAAATACTTTGGATTGGATCAAAAATAGACTGCTGTCAGTCAACTACAACATCACATTTGATTTATTTTTAACAATGTAAACTTTGTTTTAATCTTTTAATTTACTTTGTAAAGTTGTTTTTTTTGCTATTTTTCATTGAACTACTTCGCTGAAAGAAAAAAACAACACTGTTCTTGTCAAAGATGAATCAACTGTAAATTGAAGAACAAATCCCTCGTCTTGATTAATAAATACTTGTTATTTAGAAAATGTATTTCAATTACAAGAAATTCTTTTACTTTTTACTTAATTAACACAATAACACTCCTATGATTAAAAAGAAAAAGAAAAATGCTGAGTGGAGAGCTGGTCAGTTGTTTAACCTGGCTGAGACATCTGAACGTGTTGTTCTGCTCAGAGTCTCTCGATTCACAGAAAGAAAGTTCAGTCTGGTTTGAAAATGTGTCTGAAATATTGCTTCAGTCTGATTTTATATCATTTGACTCAGATGTGCTGGAGTACTTTTTTACTAACATTTTGTTTATTAAGAAAATCGTCACAATAAGAAAATGCAAACAGGAAAAAGAGAGGAAGCACTTTGAATCAAGAGGTGAAGCTTCATTGAATGATGAAGCAGGTCACAGTTTAAGTCAGTGTTTTTTTCATTTAAGAATATAGGTTTAGATTCATATTAACAGGACACTTATATTTTAAACAATGTTCAATAGTCAAGTGTCAACAGAATAATAGTTTATAGGTGAACTAGTTTTAAAGTAATGCAATGTATGTTCTACCATTTTTACTTTTGAAGTATTGACTCTCCCTTTACCTGCACATTTTATTCTATAAGAAATACTAGTTCCAGACTTGTATCTGTGACATTTTAGAATAAACGTATTATAGTGATTCATTGCTTCATTGGTTTGCACACGTGATCATAGCCATACAGCGGTACAGCCTGAATACAGTATAACATAAGCTATAGCTTGAGGTCATTTCTGAAAACAATGCTAAGGACACGGCACGATAGGTCATGATCCATATTGTATGAATATGAACGGTTCAACAGCCTGATTTCATATGATACCAGGAACTTTCATTCAGCATAGTAATAAACACGAAGATCAAACACGTCTTTTCTTGAAGTCACATTAATTACAACAAACATTTCTAAAGTTTGTAATATTTCCAGATCAAAACTGCACACAAATATTTATGTAAAACATGTTCATGGAAGGGCTTTTTTAACAGTTCAACTTTATTTATTTGAATCACAAGTAACACATTTTTCTCATCACAAATGTTGTTTATAATCGCCCAGCCTCACATTGTTTCTCACAGTTCAAACATCTTCTAAGCGGGCGTGGAGCTTTTTCTGCACACATACAACAGGCGCCGACTGTTCAGTGTCAGCCTGACCCCTAGTGGCCACCCAGTATAATTACCGGTGCCCCGCTCTCCCATTAAACAGAAGCATCACAGAAAAGCAGTACAAGGGAAACATCTATAAAAGTTGTATAAATTTTGTTTAAATGAATAAATCATCTATTGCGATGTTTTGATTGCATTTCACAAGCAACACATTTCCTGAATAGTTTTGAACAGAAAGTATTTGGAGTTAAAAAAAAGAAAACGCCTCGGGCTGTTAGCACTGGTCTGTGTCTGTGAACATTTATTTGTGTTTAACTAGACCAAGACATTATTCATAATGTTTGATGCCAAAGTCAATAAGAGCCTGTACAGAAATGAGAGTTAAATTGCTCTCTATTCTCTGAACTGCAGTCAGTGTGTCTGCCTTTGACAACAATAACTCATGCATTGAATATGTATTACAGGCTGAGCAGTCCTCTGAGATGTAATGCATATATTTGATGAATACAGTGACTGACTGGACAGGCCTTTATCGTCGAGGGTAAAATAGATCCGACCAACTTAGAGACAGAAGAACTAATTAAATGGATAAAAGATATATATGGCCTCCTCAGAGGATGTAAAATTAATAGCAGACCAAAGGACTTGCCTCTGAGCTACTTCATCCGCTCTACAGCAAAGAGACACTACAGAGGGCTGAGTGTGTGAAGAGTGTGCATGGGGGTCTGTTCACATGCATTTTTGTGCATCTGGATTCTGCCATTTAAAAAAAAAAAAAAATTCTGTAATGTATATTTTATTTTTATGTTTTGCATTCATCTGTGTGTCATCTTGTGAAATCTGTAATATTGTGATGTGCATGCTGAATGTGTCCATGACTAATAACACAGTGTGCAGACAGAATCTTATGAATACTTGTACACAGTTATTATAACACTCAATAAGAATGAGCTGCTTTGCTGACAGTGTGTCATTGTGTGGTTGCTTAATTGGGTTTTAGTGTTCTATGAAGGGGAACCAGTCACTCAGTCAAACTTTTATGGTTTCTGATTTACTTCCAGTAAGTTTATCTGATTCCAACAAGTTTGGAGATCTAACAGTGGTTACATGATTCTCTTAAATGTCAGAAAATTTGGATACATGCAGTCATAGAAAAGGGAAAAAGGAGCTCCCTTTTTAAATATATTAAAATAGGTTTATTCTCAATTGTCTACTAATTTATCTTGTTTTCCAGACTTGATTTTGGCAAATGTAAAAAAAATTAACTACAGCTACGCAAATGTTAAATATCTATGAAACACAGATATTGCATGTATGGATGCAGCCAAGACAAAATGATTGCTTGATTCTTTCTCATTGGACTCATAGTATCATTTTTTTTTTTTTGCATCATTATCAGATTTGTGTCTCATGTACAATATTGTAAATGGTTTGGCCTTACATCATTTTACTTCATACAAAGAAGAGTTCGGTCAGAAGCTTTATGGTCAAACTAGAAAAACGATTCAAAGCGGTTCAGCTCTGTAACCACTGATCTGCATTTCTCTTCAATACTTTACTTCTTAACTTGAGCAACATATACTTGTTGCTGATGCATGTGTTTTATGTGAGGTGCCGTTCTATCTCACTTTTTACTGTTTTGTGTTTTTCTTCAGTTTGTGCCATGCCATTTTATTTTGTGCATTTTTAATGGTGACCTGTTGAGAACCTTCAGATGAAAATAAACTGAAAACTATCAAACTGTTCAATTCATGTTTGGTATTTGACATAGTTCCTCAACATATTAAATAAATACATTCTAGCAGATTCTTTTTTTCTGCCTGTTTGAATATAATATGAGTGAAGTAGAACATTTGAGGTCCAGTCTTCAGTCACGTACGTTATCTTTGTGTCTGGTCAGATTAATGCTTTCTTTTCTCTCTGTCTTTCACTGGCAGGTCTGCTGCTGACCTCACTTCTTCCCAGGAGTGACTGAGCCTGAGGTCATGTCTGTCCGAGCGTTTCTCCACACTGACCCACTTTGACTTCTCCCCGCTCTCACCTCCACCTTCTCTTTCAACATATGAAGCTCTGGATGAAGAGAGCAGCCGGCTTTGCTCTCACGGAGATCCTAATTGAAACTGTGCAAGAAAGCGAACGTGAGGTGAATGGTTCAGATAAGGACACTGTGTTTTTTTTTACCTACTGGTATCATGCAGTGTGTAAACACCACCTATAAACAAAAGATTAAGAGCCGGTATATTCAAAATGTCTGTCAAAGACGACTTCAGTAAAGCTGAGTGGACACTACAACCTGAATGCCTGAACAATGGAATCAAATATTACAACCACCTTTGTGAAAAGTATGATGTTTATTTATATTGATCAAGTAATCAAATAACTGGTTGGGAGCAGCTTAAACATAAAGTATAAAACACAGCCCCATGCAGACAACAAATAATAAACATACGACCTCAAATATGGAATAAGATCTTTAATAATACTGGTAATATTTAAGTAAACTGATGGATGGAAAAAACTGCTTTCACGATTGATACGATCGGTCTTGAAAGAAGGATCAGTCCAGTCAATATAAAACCATTACTAATCTACCATTACTAATCTGAGTGCAGAGGCGTTGAACATTTTCTATAGAAAACTGGAGGTGATGAAGGGTTTCACAAGAGAAAATATTACCTTGAAATATTTTTCTAAAATTATAAAATGACATATGTATCACCTGATGACACATGTCGACTTACATAAAGAAATAAAGATTCACACCGGTTTAAATTTAAGCAGAATGGACAAATACTGTTTTTTGGGGGTTTTTTGAGCTCATGTCAGTCAAACCTCTGGTACACATCTGGTTTGAGAACGAGGGGATTAACAAATATGACAACTGGGTGGTTTCACTCTGAACCTTGAAAACATGACATTACAAAGTGAAGGACTCTGTACAACCTTGATCAGTTTAAACACACAAACCAAGTTACCAAGATTTGGTCTACACGGCTTTCTGCAGTCTGGGTCATGGCTATGAAAGGAATAAAAACCTTAAGTATTTGGACAGTGTTTATGTCAGAGAAGATTTGATTTCACAAGCTGCCATTTTTTTCATGTTTGATTGCATTACATTCAACTGCATTCTTGTTGATTAGCATCTCCGGGTAAGTTTGTGTAGTTGCAGTTAACACTCTCCACCACGAGAGGGCACATGAGATAGAAGGAGCCCCAGCCCTACCAACCTGCCTGGCCTTGACTGTGCACTTGGGAAGCCATCATTTATTTTTGGAGCCCTGGGCTGGATGGCAGCTGTGAGACTGACTGGGAGGAGGTGGGAGGAGGGTAAGGAGACTGAGGAGATGCAGGGAGAAGGAGGGGCAGCAGGGGTAACCTACTCCAGCACCAGTGACACAAAAAGCATTGTCCTGATTTAATGGCTGGGAAGTCTTGCCTCCCCCAGGTCCAAGAAGCTGCTGATGCTTAATTAGGACTTTCATTTATTCAAACACATACACAAAAACACAATGAATACAACAGATACACACCTCTGCATGAGTGTTCCCAGGCTCTGAGACGAGATCTTTCAATGAAACTCTCTGATCAGGAGACGAGTTATGAAGACAGAGAGCCGTCTGTTGTAGCTGCTCTTCTTACAGTGTGGCAGCTGTAAAATTGTCATTTGACTTTCACATGAAGAGTTAAACCTCTGATGAGTAATCAAGTGTTAAAAAAAATCAAACAGGCCCATGCTCGATGATTCATGAGTGTACAGGGAGTTGTAGGACGGTCTGTGTAATGACAACAGGAAAAAAGGTGAGGGAGAGTACATCTTTAAATCTGTTTTTATGTGTTCTGCTTCAACACAGTCAGATAGAGGCATGACAGACTAAACTGTATCGATTTATGCTTTTCAGATATATAATTTTGACAGTGTAGCTGGAGGAACCAGAAGAGTTCAGTCATTAAAAAAAAGAAGCTCTATATCTTTTTTACTGCAGGGATGATAGTTTAATCTCACATTTAGGCAGTTTTTTGGTGTTTTATAAAGTATTTTATATATTCATAGAAGGACTATGGTTCTACTTAATCATTTTTTATAATACATTTTTGATTTTTGATTTTATCTCTTTCTGAAACATATTTAATCTTTTGTTAATGTATAATCCAACATATTTGGATTCAATGGCCTCATTCAAGTAGTATAATATTGATCGACTTCTTATTGATAACATGTGACGCCATAGCCGACAGCATTAATATGTAAACGAATCAGACTAGCAGTGGTGTCTCTCTTTGTTTTCTTTTAGTGCAGGACCCCAATGAGCACATGTCCCATTTAAACAGGTTTCTGTATTTTTTTTAAAGTGCTGCCGCTCATCCTCTATGTTTATTATAAAGGGAAACTCAGGGTGAAACACCAGATGAATAATTCAACGTCTCTTTACCCAGAGAAATAAGGATACAAGACAAAGTCATGTACAAGCCCCCCCACAAATATATGCCAAAGTGTTCCTTCTGTGAATTTACATCCACATGTATTAAAATCCCCCTCTCCATTATCTAGAATTGCACATTTCTTAATTATTCATCTCAAGGCATTGAAGCACCCAGGTCTTTTAAATTTTTTATTTCTCCTCAGCTTCAAACAGTAGATCTTGTAAAGGGGACCCAGTTTCGGGGTGTGGGAATTGCTACAGGGCGAAGCTGACAGGATTTTCAGTCTCGAGGCACCTCGCACTTTTTCATTACAGCAAAGCAAAGGAACAAATCCAGGTCAATTAAAAAAAAAGGAACAAGAGGGCTGAGTGGCTCACTGAGAGCAGGATCAATACTTCGATTGGCCACTAGAGGGCGCAAGGGGCTAAGATATGTCTCAAAAAGAAGACTATGCATCATCTGGTTGACCAAAAGACATCCAAAACATCACCTCGTGTATTTTACTTTTTCTTACACTAGCTTTACTTACAGAATAACCTTGATTTGAAGTAATGTTTAAATCTTAGTCCAAGTTTTTTTATTTATTGCATTTTTTTACAAAAGTATTATCAGTGTCTCTTATTTTGTTTGTAGCTGTGTGTGTGTGTGTGTGTGAGAGAGAGAGAGAGAGAGAGAGAGAGAGCAACCCCTCTCCACTCCCAATGCAGGTCACGCCCATGTAAAAAGTGTCGTTGGCTAACCTGGGGAGTGTCACATTGAATTTAATGGCCTCTTGTTCCTTGCAAGTTGTACTTGAAATCATACCATGATATGAAAGGAGCTCTCCCTCGTCTGCCTCATAATATGTTGTGACGCAAGGGTTCACATACATCCTCTCTGTCTGTCTAACACACACACTCACACAGAGAAGAGCGACCTAGCTCAGGCCTGAGACTAAAAGGCTGTAATTGTGTTTATGACAGTGACCTGTCTCTGGTTCTGGCCCGAGTCCAGCATCAAAGTGTGTGTGTTGCTACATGTGTGTGTGTTTATGATAGATAAGGCAGCTGTGTGTGTGTGTGTGTGTGTGTGTGTGTGTGTGTGTGTGTGTGTGTGTGTGTGTGTGTGTGTGTGTGTGTGTGTGTGTGTGTGTGTGTGTGTGTGTGTGTGTGTGTGTGTAGCCTCCTTCTGACCTCCCTGATGGCCGGAGATGGGCTGAAGTCATAACTCTTCTGCCTGGCTTTACCCTTGAGCAATATCACGGGCGCACTGAGTGCAGCGAGTCAAACCGCTGAAATTCTCTCCATAACTGTGGACACACAAAGTGAACAAACAGACACACACACACACACACGCACACAAAGGCTTTCCTGTGTGTGTCAAACCTGCTAACAACCTTCAAAGCAACTCAGAGTAAGTTCTATGGCATGGGAAGAATAAAGTGGCTTTTTTCAAAAGGTTGTATAATAGGCTGATTTTATAATTTGTAAAGAGGTATCGTAGGATAATTCCATTTCTAACAACTCAGATTTACTCACTCAGCTTACAGTTACACAAAAACAATACTTACCAAAATGTTGGCAAACCTCAGGGCTGACTTCCGTATTGCTTCAACAAAGACTAGACAAAAAACAAAATATGACAGTCTGTCTAAACTGCATGGTTTTTAACCATCCTAATTGAACACAATAACATGTTTTCCCTTCTAAAAACTAAAGATATCTTTTATTCTGTGTGAATCCTGTCTAGACAATAAAACACACAGCATGTCATATCTGCAGTCTGGGGTTGCTTTATCAAAACTTCAATGAAAAAAGTAGACGTCCACCATAACTTGAAAAAATGGAGAGAGTTAATAAAAAAAGACAATTTGTAATAATTTGAATGCAGGTTTGAACAAAATGTATAGGTCAGGTCCTGTCATGCTACATAAAACAATAGTAAAGTTACTTTTCAGAATTGGGTAAAGCAAAAATTCTCTACCAATTGCAAACTAAAAGCTTCTGACTGCTAGTGAAGTGTTGTCTCTTGACAGCGGATGACAAAGCTCCATAGTATACCTTTAACGTTGGACAAATTGGAAAAGCATTGCTATCCAAAGCAACAGATATGATCTTATCTTGTTGTGTGACTTTAAATTTGGATCTTACATCAAATCGTGAATCTCGCCTCATTTGAGGGTTAAACTTTGAAGACACTCACATGATGTAAAAGTTTAAGTTTAAACAGCGAACATCAGAAAACAGCAGCTAAGACCCAGAGCAACATTAGCATTAAGGTGGAGTCTCGTTTCTGGCAGCCTGATGAACGACAGCATTTAACTAACCAGCTAACTGATTGCTGCCTATTTAGCTTCTAAATGCTAAATCCACCAGCTAGCTGTCTACACTGTCAGCCGTTTGGTGTGAGGCAGCTCTCATACAGGGTTTTAACCATAAACAGCTGGCTGCTGTTGTGCCTGGATAAGAGGGTGACTGTTAACCAGAATAGTTGAAAACTTTAAAACCAAAACAATGAGCTGAATGGTGCTAAAGCTCCCAGTTTCACATACCCTGGATGATAGCAGATTTGTGTCTGTCTCTCTGAGTTTGAGGATACTTCCCTCACATACAGTTGTTTTATAGACCGGTAGGAAGGTAACGTCATTTGCTAAGGAACTCTACTGTACTGAAGTACAGAATTGAGTTTCTTGTTTTACCTATGTGTTTCCATTTCTGCTGCTGTTTCTCCCCGTCTACAATTCATGGCCAATATTGGTCTTTCTACTACACTACACTTAATCAGAAATGTAACTTAATTTGATTAAACTAGTTACTTTGCAGATAGAGTGAGCCAGAATCCTTAACAACTGCAGCCTACCAGCTTTTAGACTGTCATATTGGAGGGCAAAGGGTGATGTCTTGACTCATGACTGCCGTGCAAACATTTCCACTTCCTCAACATTTCATCCAGTGAGACAGCAGCCGCCTGTGGCCGTTAGTCTGAGAGGAAACAACAACAAAGGACTCTTGCAATACCATTATTACCATTTTGGGTGCCTGCCAGAAACACTCTGGATTACCTTGCATGGCAGACAAATTGGCAATTGGAACGGCAGTGTAATGGAGGCTAATTGCCTGAGTGCAGGGTTAGTTTGTATTTCATGCAAATCTCATGTGCATAGTAGAGAGACTTGGCCGACAAACAGGACAAGTAATAGCCATTCTGAAGCAAAAAGGCGATTGAAAGTGGCTCTTTGACACAGGCTGTTTACCTCATATGCACTAATTATTGCTCACAAGCACTGATGACCTCATTTTTAAATACGCTATTTCGTGGAACAAATTCCCAAGACGGCAATTTAATAAGCTTCTACAACCTTACATTTTATGCTGCAATACAAAGTATTTTACTATAAATGTGTTTGCTCTAATGGTGGATGATTTGTTTAGGGAAAAGCTGAAATAATTTATAGTAATATCAAAAAAAGAATGAGTGTCATTATTTTGTCCAACCTATATTTGAGTTTCTCAGGTGGGAAAGATTATTTTTTGAAATAAGGATGCTAACTCTCCTCTTACAAAAGCAGTTCACAGACGAGTTTGAAATCAAGTTTCATCATAT